AATTCGGATTGCGGCAAACTTGGTTACTGCTCGTGGTGACGTGAGGAATAGTTGAAGAACATGGATAGCCTGGGTGACCTCGGCGTCTGTTACATCCCGCATATCGCAGATTGCCTTCGCAGCCTCGAAGTTGACCATTTCACTTTTATGTCGGAGCCAGCCGTCCAAGAGCTGGATCATGGGTTTGCGGAGTTGTGGATCCTCCTCTGCCAATTGCGCAGCTAGTCGAACCAGCATAACGGTTGCTGCAGGGCTCTTTACTGCACCTGCAGTTCCAAATTGCTGAACCATTTTGACCAAAGCCATCCTATCGTGCATTCTCATTTGATACAGGAGTCCAATAGCGTGGTATTGTGTCATAGTAGAGTTGTTAACCGGCATTTGGCTCGACGAGGTAGAGAATCCCAAGGAGAATCCACCAGACGACTTTGTAGAAGACGCAGCTTCTTGTGTTTCACTCTGCCATCTTCGGACAACATCGCGAGCTATTGGGAGAAGGTGGTATGACGAAACAAGGGCGGCAGATGATACTGAGGGGTTCTTGTCGACGATTGCGGTCTTCATAACACGTTCGATACTTTGTACGGTCGATGCCTATCACTGTCAACTCCAGTCCTTCCTGCACCGTACTCCTCAACTCACATCGATGATCCGGCAGAGCGCCCGAATGGCGTTTGGTCTATAAATCGCATCTGTTCCACCACCAGTATCCTTCATGATTGTGCTTGTGACCATAATGATATCCTCCGCCGAATGCGCCAGCTCCTTGATGATGAGGTGAACCATCTGCCGTAAGCTTGCATCTTTGTTCTGGAACAACTTCGAGATTCCGAAGAAGAGGGTAGTGGCTTCATTGGTAGGAAATCGTTCGCCGGTGTAGAGGAGGAGGGCGATTTTGGTGAGGAGGACTCGACATTTCCGAGGTTGGATGGGGGACGAATTGAACAATCGTGCTGTCTGGCATTAGGGGAGCTCCGTATGGAGGGGGAATGTTCACCGACCTTCCTGGAATACTGAGGTTCTGTCTACCCTCATGATGGCCGTATCGGCATCTTCATCTTTCTTGCTGTAACTCATGGTGAGAGGGGGTAGCTCCTCAGCTTCATGAATTGCAGGGGGAGGGAGGTTGATTGGGGGTTCTATATGTGATCTTGAAGTCGCGACGTAGCCAAATCCGCAGGTGGGACTAGTCTGGCTAACCGAGCGGAAGGGAAGCGGAGCGGAGAAACTATTATGCAGGAGGAGAAGATTGAATGCTGTCGAGCAGCTTTGCTAATATGTGTGTAGGAGGTGTTCCTAACAAACTAAAACCAATATAGAGCAGTTTGTCAATTTCACAGTATATGCTCTGTTTGTTTTCTTTTCTCACCACTGGTTTTGTGAGGGTCACTTGCCTAGGCAGAATGCCCAAAGCCATGCAAGGGTCTGGACCTTTCGACCGATCGCTCACTATTCACATTCATGAATTACCATCAGGGAATATACTCGCCTCAGTGCGATTGTAAAATTAAACTTTTCGGACCCCTAAAATTATCCTTTGGTGTGAGAATACAAGGTAGCTTCATGTAGGAATGTTCAAGGTTAGAGTAGATGAATGTTGGCGTTGCACAACTGGGCGGATCCCGCCCATTATCTCCACCCCGCCGCCCATTAAAAGAGAGACCCAAATTCGTTCCAGGGACACTTATGCAATTGCTTCAAAGGAGGAAGTAAATGCGTATGCAATTAACTATTTTCCCTCCTGGAAGAGAATGCTTATTTATACCGTAGCCGAGGTCTCGGTTAGGTTACAACTGGAATTCCACCTCGTCCTGCTTCCTCCGTTCCACACCATAGAGCCCGCTGTCATTGTCTGAATGGACCGCTTCACCTGATATGGTCCAGGTATTCCCATTTGCACAAATGTGCTGTTTAGAGGTTGTGGAAGCAAGCCAAGCCGGAATGGGGTTTGCAGCCGTAACAAACGGGCGCCTTTAGTCCTTTAGAACGAATGATTCGCTTTGGAGTTGGATCTTTGTCCTGCGACAACAATTCCTGAAAATCTGTTTATTTTTCTTGACACCCACAAATTCTTCACACGCTGATCTCTGCTGCAACCAAGACGGGGAACTCCTGGAGAAATATGCAGTACTTTCGGAATTGCTGTTCAGCCCGGATGATTTCCAAAAGATGTGCCGGGCCTTCACCGAAAACCAAATCGAGCGCAAGAAACTCGCTGCAGCACATCGAAAGGCCAGTCGTGAACTCAACCTTTCTTCAACCAACAGTTCCAATCTTCTTCTGGTGTCGGCGTCTACGAGACAAGAGGGAATGATCGTCGAGTCCTGCCTAGCGATGAGCGATGCTCGTCGAACTCTAAGGCAAAGGCTCTAATAGAATCCACGCTGTAGGAACTCTTTTGAAAGAACTCCACAATATTGATTGGGACGATGACTGTTACGAGAGCGACTTTTATCTCTCGATTCCAAAAGTCGGACAAGAAAGGCTGGTCTTTCAGATGTCTCTCGTCGAGCCTGTCGCTGGACGCTTAACCGATGCTGCTGTGAAGTTGTGTGTGCTTATTCTGTTTTCTGCGATTTGTACAGAGATTAGACAATCGTTCGATGGATTTGCCGACTTGGGGTAGCAGTTCTCCGTTTAATCTTGGGTATCACACTTGCTATGATATTTTTACAAGTCATGGTCGGTTCTATTGCTGCCACAGCCGCAGGTTTGACAGCAAGTACTACAAGCTGGTTTCTTCAAACTTTCGCCTCACCGAAGCCTCCATCGAATGTCGATTTTTCCTCGACTCCGATCCACGAAGGTGTTTTCAAAGAGGCAGGAAGGGCTATCTATCTGTTAGAAGTTGCCGCAAACTTATCGATCGTTCCACAGCTACTGCAACAATCAAAATCCAGTGTTCTAAACGCCGCTGATATCATTGCTGGATCGTCGCTCGAAGACAAGGATCTATTGGCAGCGGAGTACACCAGACTCTTTGGTGACACTGACGAATTGACTGAAGTCTCTCAAGACTGGAATTCTGGGGTCGATGTACTTGTCGCTGACTTTGAAACCCTCCTCTCGATGGCTCTGTCACAAGTTGGAGCTATTCGTACTCATGTTGATTTTCAAGATTCGATTTACGTCGTGGTCTCTCAACTCTGTATTACCATGTGTCTCGACAATGCGATGCCAGTCTACTTTCACGAACACGAGTGCAAGCTTAGCGGGACATCGGCTGCAGCCACGATGGCAGGTGTGCTATGTCTTGATACTTCGATGACCATCCCAGACTTGGTCTGCTCTCCATTGCTGAAGCTTATGCCTGGCATAAAGCTCTATATGGACGAGGTTGCAGATTCTCGGGTCAATGCAGTTCAGAGACTCAGACAATTCTTGGAGGCATTGGATGGGCAGATGTGTGAGCTGATACGCGGCGCAGAGCGAGGGAAGGAATTGTGTAACAAAACAAAAGCCGGTTATCAGAAAATTCAAAGCATCAACTATGCTAATGACAACATTATTTAGAAGCAATTGGAAGTGATGGAAGCGAAGATATGGCAACCGAATTCCCTATTGGACCGGATCGGATTCTCATATGGATTGATCGAATCTCCAGTTGGGCTGCGGAGGGATCATATCAGTCTCAACCGAACGGTTATCCTCAACGATGTTGCATTACAAATGTTTACTCAAGCAGATGATGTTTTGAACGCTTGGAAGAGGGATATCGAGGGTGTCCTTCGTAGTCTGCAAAACTTTGAGCCCTTGGCTGATAAGGGATGGCGGGGAGCATGGCAGGATATGCAAGATTGGGATGATTTGAGGGCAGACTTTGAAAAGTTGAGACCCTTAGTAACCGCTTTAGCTCGAGCCCAGACACGAATGACGGCAAAGATCAAAGATCGCGAGATGAGCTTTAACGAGGCCATGGAAGCATGCTTCGCGGAAGCCAAGCGTCCTGGGAGAAAAGTGAAATTCGATTGGGGAGCTTGCTATGACGAAAGAGAGCTACTCCTATGGGGGGGAGAGCTGGGAGCCTGAGGTACGTGGCAGGATTTCGATGGTCGCAAGTGACAGCGGCCACCTTGAATAGTTAGTTTGGAAAGTTGTAGCAATGGCTGATGCTGCCTGCGATTCGAGAGGCTTCAGCCGATGCTCCTATTTAGCTCCCCAGAGGTTAACATGTGCATCTGAAAACGCATGAGGGATTCCGCGAATGCTAGGGCGCTGTCGAACAATAAATCGTAGCTGCCATAGGAGAACAGCTTCATGTGTCCCCACATGGAAAAAAAAGTGATCCTATACCAGCGAGGAGATACTCAAACTCGAGAATAATGGAGAACACATAGATGAGAGCTTCTTTGGCAAAAAACGATCCGTAACATACATGAATGATCAATCGTTGATACTTTCGTCCATTGATAGCACTTTCTGGCAGAGAATGATTTGTTTGTTACCTAACCGAGGCCTCGGCTGGGTGCCTGCAAACTACAAGAAGACCTCTTCTTCCACACTACATAGCCCGCTCTTATTATCGGAATAGCCCGAAACTCCATAGGTATTCAATGCTAGGCACCGGGAGACTTTCCATTTCCAAATCGAGGGAAAAGTTCGATACTAAAGGGTGGAGTCTGGATAAAGAACTTGCATCCGTTTCTACAGCTCTTGTTCGTACTGTGCAAGAGTTCTTGTAGGTCTCTTTATGCGATGCAGATTAACTCTCTGGTTATTAAAAATAAAATATCTAATAAGTCTTCTCATATCACTGATAGCGTTCTCGACCTTGACCCATATGTATATAGAAGACAACACACTTCTTCAAAACTCAAATACCTCATTACTCGTGGCTAAATATTCCCCTCTCCCCTTACAAGGGGCTTTGTAGGTTTAGCGTAGAGCCCAAAAACAAGCGAGAAACCGCACCCGTCAACCTCTGACTTCGGCTGTAAAAAATATAATCGTGAATCACAACACCAAAAATCATAACTTCTTTAATTTGCAAAATGAAAGTTTTCCGGTACCGGGAATCGAACCCGGGGCTGCCCGGCTCTGCAGTCCATACGGACTATGAAAGCGGGCTATGTTAACCCCTACACTATCTGTATTTTTGTTAGAATTGATGTTCTTCGAGTGGTAGTAACGGGAGATGCTTACACCGGACGTATCAGATGATTGATGTACGAGAGAGCCGTTATTTCAATAAATATTACAGTCAAGAAAATAGCGCATTTGACTACCGACGATTTCCCAGGTCTGGATTGCAAGGAATGGTGTGTGCGATTTTTGGTTGGCGCGGGTAGGGTTGGGAGGGGTGGGGTAACCTCTCACCCACATCTTTACTTCGTTAGATCTCGTACCCACGAAAACATCCACAGAATATATGGTTGGGTGCAAGTTCCTTCATACGACAAACAGCCATGCTAGCCTTCTACCGGTTGCTCTTTGTTTACTACAGCCTTATGAAGTAGATTGTTTGGGCGAAACAGTTGGACTTCAAACCTCGGCTAGCCTGACTACAGTGATGATGGACACGGGCTTAACTGGGGGCCAGCCCCCGCCAAGTTGACTAGGAATTTGGCGAGCAGCCAGGAGCCTCTTGGCATTTATTTTTTATTTGATTTGATTTCTGACTCAAGACATTGGGATTAAGTCCTTGTAAATTTTATGGACTTGTACGATAAGTTCCTACCCAACGTGTCTTTTACAAGCCTCTGGTTTCTGGCGTCTAATTGAGAATATTGATGCCCTGTCACACACTGTAGCGGGGTACCTTAAGAAACCTTAGAAGTAAACTTCGCAAGCACTGTAGCAGCAGGTGGGTGAATGGAAGTCAACAATGATAGATAATAGCGTCTCTTTTTGGCGGCATGCAGCTCAAGCAAGTTCACATTTAGGCGGCAAAACACGCACTCGCGACTACTACCGGCCCGTGGCTAAGGCTTCAATGAAGCATGTGAAAGATATCAGGGGTTCTGTAGAGGTTTTGAGAGCAGCTAGTATTAAAATATGAGGTTTGTAGTTCCCGCCTACGCTAATCTCTCGTTTTCTGCGCTTTACACCTCCTCTCATCTTCCTTGTTCGTAAGTCAAGTGCAATGAAAGAAGTCAGGTTAGTCAATAACTCTACCTGGCTTCAAACTTGGCTTCCAACCCCCACCACTACGCTACAGCATCTCCCAAGATACATCCTCTTCGGACTAATTACCAAGCCAAGGTTGCAATCACGGCATGTATCACTCCTATTTCATGATTCCAATCCGACAACTATTAATCTTGGATCGCTAAGCATGAGAGCCAGTTCCTCTTGACCGACTACCTGCTATATTATCAACACTCTACTTATCTTTGATTTCCAACAGGGCACCCTGTTGCACTACTGCCACGCACTTAGTGAACCACGAGCAACATGGCAACCGCCGACGTAATTACTATTTCGCCCATTCATAGGCTTCAGGTTCCTCTAAGCTGGCGTGACATGGAATTGTTCAACACCTTGTAAGTCTAGGACTTCACTTTCTCTATTGACGGTGAGCCATAATAACCATACGTCCCTCATATAAGGTACAATGAACCCCCAAGTACCTTATTCAAACCAGACATAATGCGGAAAGGTATGCGATTGCATGTTCTTTTTCCTCAAGCCCATATTCTCGGAAGAGTCCAAACAGCCTTGCAACTTCGATTGAACGCCGATCATCTTTCGAGATATGGCCAGTCACCTGGTAGAAAGTTTTCCAAAATAATTCCCGGAGGCTATTATGGTTGGGGTGGAAGTGCCAATTAGTTCTGGTCTGGATCCCAAGGACGACCTCCATACTCGCAAGGGACACGCCGAACGGGGCAATCATAGCGTCAGCCCAATCGACGATGCCTATAAGAAGACAATTAGTCTTCATCTCCCTAGGCAACGCTCCAAAGAACACCGAAGTGGGGGAAATAGGAAAATCCCGCATAGAAAATTACCTGTGATATGACCGGTGGCCTCATCTACATGAATATTGTTTTCTAAGAGATCATCATGCTGGAGCACCATGGGATAGCTGGACCGGAAGAGCCGTGGAAGCTCTTTGCGAACATAGCCTAGCTTTGCTTGAAGTTGGGCGGGCAGGTGTGGAGAGACTTCATTTAAGATCTTGGAGTACTCGTCAAGTAAGCCTTGAGGGGGCTCCAAAGTATGAGCGGGTTTATTGATCCACGCCGAAGCAAAGAACCTATACGAGTCTATTGTCAACAAAACATACAGTATAAACAACCATAGATGTGGCATCAGACCTTGCAAAGTCTTGCACAGTTTGCTGCAAACGTTGTTCCATTGTAGGGGCAGGAGAGAAGAACTGACTCCTGACTCGACAGAAAGCTGTTCCGGGGACAAGATTTGCCACGTATACATGAACTGGCCCAAACATGCCTTGGGACTCGCATTCGGGGACAAAATCTCCGTAAAGTTGTATTGCAATCTCAATTTGTCTTATAGGTAACCGGGAACGCCGAAACTGGACGACCTGAGCCGCCTCGTCTCCAGACACAGTATAGCTGCTCCCACCTTGCACGGGTGTGGCAGAGACAGGACAGCCGAGAAGGTTGGCCGCAAATTGATCTACTTCGTCCCTCGCAAGCCCATGCTCGTTGAAGAACTTGGCGATCTGGTAGGCTGAGAGTGCATCATAAGCGTCTGGCTTTGCTGCATAACTAGAGACATCCATAGCGACGAAAATGCGTTTGTTAGTGACAACGAAAACTAGACGTGGATGTAATTTGGCGAATATACCCCTTGGAGTGGTTGCGGCTTGATCCCTATCAACGAAGACGCTGGGCTTGCGGTTAATCCGGTCCGTTCCGGTTCTTCATCATGTCTCATGTCCCCTGAATCTGCTCGGTCACACTACCCTCGGATTTGAGTATCCCATTCCAAGTTCCCAACCAACATCAAACCAACATCAAAACCTTCCAGAAATCCATTCTCAACCCCCCCTCTCCAGTCGGCTATTTCTTGACCTGGACCCGGGTACCTGAATTAATATCAAATCCGCACATCCCATATTAGACCAGCCATGCAGTCCATCTATCTGTCTCATAGGCAGGAAGGGTAGGTAGGTAGGAAGGACATATACCCAGTCCGTTGTGATGTTTCATGATTTTAGGCCACGGGTAGGTGTGTAAGAATGCATATCTTCACTTTTATTGGTGTGGCCTTGTTTCGTTTCGTTTCATTCCCACTCCCTGCATATCATACCGGGAAACTCGGGGATGCAAGAGCTAAAAGGGGATTCCCGTTTGGAAGTCGGCGAGCAGTGAACAGCGAACACATACCTAGCTAAAAGAAGAAGAAAGTAATGCAAAAAAAGAAACTAATAAAAGGAACTAATGAGAGAATTATGTTCGAAGTAAGTAATCGATCGACCGATGGATGCAAGATCCAAAAGGAGGCACCGGTATTTGGAATTTGGAATAGGACAAAAAGACAGGTGGGTGGTACAAATATAGGTACTGTATGTTTAGTTCTTGACATAGGTATATGGACGGACGGACGTACGTATGTATTCTGACGAGTGAGAGGGGGCCTTTCTGAGGGTTTTGCAGGTTGGGCTTACGCGCCTCAGCGTCTACCGTCTAAATATACCTCCCTATCCACACATCACATCATCTCATCCCATCTCATCTCACCACGCAGAAAAATAGCTGGGTGGGTATACGCCGATGCAAGCAAGTGGGTGAGTGAGTGGAGTGATGCAGAGAATTATTTAGGGGTCTTAGCTAAGGCTTGTTATTATTGGTTGGTTGATAGACAACTTGGTAGGCATGAAGAAAAGACAAGAAAAAAGAAATGTGCTTCTGGAAAGAATCCTTCCCCCCGTCCCGCCTCCCGGGGGAGGTGCTAATGCAAGGATAACAGGCTGAATTCTCGCAAGACAGGCCGGGAAGTTCGAGGCGTGAGGTTCGGTCCCCAGTGGTATGGTAGTGATCATGGATGGAAGGATGGTACGGCGAGGAGAGGAGAGGAGAGGTCGGCATGAGCTGGGCTGGGATGGGCTGGGATTCCCCGGAATAGGTGGGGGAGTGTGGGCAAAGTTGGTAAGGAGTGATGCCGACCGAAATCTCACCTCAGGAGATGGATGGACGGGAGAAGAAGGTTACGCTTACCCACGCCGCACCGCACTCCGTACTGTACTGGATCGAATGCTGTCACTCTCCGTAAAGAGCAGGAGTTGACTTAAAGGTAGGTTATTATTGTACCACTGTATTATGGTATTATTGTGTTATTGTATTATTGTATGAGAGGAGAAGCAGGAGAAGCAGCAGAAGCAGGAGGTCTGTCTTGCAGCGGAAGCACCACTGGCAATGCTTAATGCGGTCCAGCTCTGCTTGGCAGGTCTCAGGCCGTGCTGGCTGCCACAGTGTCACTTGCTTCTATCTGTGCGGTGCTAGCGTGGCCCTTCCTGCGGATCAGATAGCTGCAGTCAGAAGTCAAATTTCTTGACCACTGGAGAGGATGGAGAGAAATGCGGGAGAAGAAGAGATGCCGCTGATACCGAGCGGGTCGGCACACAGATGGGGAATAGGAAGGAAGGGGAGGAAGAAGTTAGTGGGAGAATAGAGGAGAATAGAATAGAATAGAATGCGGCAGACAGGACGAAGCTTGGTTTGGCTGAAGGACGGGCGAGGCAGTGGTGAGGATGGTCAACCATGGGAGGTATATACTGGTTGTTGTGTTGGCTACTGGGTACTTGGGTTGAGGAAGATGGCTGGCTAATAGGTAATTAAGGGCGAAGGGAAGTTAATGTACCAAATTATAGCAGATCATAACTATATAGTAACAGTACTTTGTATGAAGAGTAATCAAGGGCCAATAGACTACTGGAGAGTGTCAAGCAGAAAAAAATATGCGACGAAAGCGAGATGGGAGACGGTGATGCAGTCAGTGTTGATGCAGTCCAGACCGCACCAACAGACCAGCTCGCCTGAGAAAAGAAGCATAATCTGCGTTGCGGTAAGGCTGGAGGCTTGCCAAGACTTTCCACCGCTACGCTGCTTATCGACAAGGGCGGGCGGGCTAGCGATAGCGGGCGGTATTTGCTCTTTCTTCGGCCTCCGCTGGCTGGCTGCA